ACTCCTCTCTGTTTGCCCAGGACCTTCCTGGATTTAGCACTGAAAGTCCTACGTCCTAGTAACCCCATCAATCCCTGGAAATAGTTTCGGTGTGTGTAGAAAGCAATGAGGAGTGGGGCTGGCTGCATGAAAAGGCTACGTGTAGGGCCTTGAAAGCCATTCAGGCAAGTTGCAATGCATTCACGTCATCGGTAGGAAGACTGGGCTCAGTGAGAATCACAAGAGATGGCTTTCACTATGATACTGAAATGAAGACATGATACTCTATGCAAACAAACGCTCCCTCATCCTCACATCTTCATGGGATGTTCTCTTTCCTGCTTTTCCACTGCCTAACCAAGATCTCCTATGTTTCAATCTGTAATGTGCACACCAGTGGCCCAGGGATGTTAAAATGCAGACTCTGACCTCAGTAGCTCAAAGGTGGGGCCCAAGATTCTACAGAGAATTTCTCTGCAGAGAGATTCTAACAAGCTCCCAGGTGATGCTGCTGCTGCTACTGCTGCTTTGAGTAACAAGACCTTCCATCCCATTTTTTCAGGAACTTACGTTTTCAGCTTCTACCGCTCCACTGACTCCCTTCTTTCAGGCCATAAATTTGCTTTGTGGTACAGAACAAACCCATTGCTATCGGGTCAATTGCAACTCATAACGACCCTATAGGACAGAGTAGAACTGCCCCATAAGGTTTCCAAGGAGCAGCTGGTGAATTCGAACTGCAGACCTTTTGGTTAGCAGCTGAGCTCTTAACCACTGTGCAAGAGTTGTGGTTAAATACCTGAGTCCTGGAATCCGGGCTCCCTAACTTCCTACCTCTGTATTTTTGGGCAAGTGTCTTAACCTCTCTGTGCTTTGGTTTACTTATCTGTAAAATGGGAATGATAATGATAGTTCTGCCTCATTTGTTTATTGTGGGCAATTAAATGAAATAATACAAGTAAAGTGCTTCAATGGTAATTGACATGTAGTAAGAGCTCAGTAAGGTTTATCTAGAGTAATAATGATCATTGTCATTATTGTCATTGTCCCCATTCTTTAAACCTCAGCGTTTTTTTTTTTCCTATCTACGTTAAAACACATCTCATTTCTTGAAGAGCAGTTTGACTAAGACGTCACTACTGCCTGGTTTCTGCCCCCACCTCAGCACTTAAACTATGAGTTACCACAGACCCCATCATGCCAAATACAATAGCAACTCTCAGTTCTTATGTGGTTTAATCTCTCTGTTCCTTCATAGCTGTTGCTCACTTCCACCTTGGCTTCCCTATGTCATTCTTCCTTGCTTCACCTTTCACTTTTTGAGTTTTTCCCTTTAGTCTCCAACAGTGCTTTGATTTCAATCACCCCAGCTGCCAAGCGTTTCATCTTTGGCCATCTTCTTTTCTGATACTACGGGCTCCGTAAGGGTGACTGAATACCACCTATATCCAGATGACACCCTAACACATGTCCCCAGTGATGGCAATGTCCCATATCTTGATAGGGGTTTGAGGCATATAGGCATATCCACTTGTCAAAACTCATCACGTGGTATACTTAAGGTATGTGCATTTTACTGGGTACATTTCAATATTGTATACACTATGAATAAATATTGAACTCCAGTTAGTGATATGCATGTTGAATTAGGAGTCAAGTGTTTCAATGTCTGTGACTTATTTTGAAATGCATCAAAAAAATGAAGTGAATAGATGGATGTATAGAGGGATAAATGTGTGATAAACTCAAATAGCAAAACGTTAACAATTATAGAATCAACTTAGTGGGCAGAGGGATGTTCACTCTACAATTCTTTCAACTTTGCTGGGAAAAAAAAAAAAAAAACCTCTGCTGTCAAGTCGATTCTGACTCATAGCGACCCTGTTAGGACAGAGTAGAACTTCCCCATAGGGTTTCCAAGGAGCGCCTGGTGGATTGAACTGCTGACCTTTTGGTTAACAGCCACTTAACCACTATGCCACCAGGGTTTCCATAACTTTGCCAAATGTTTGAAAATTATCATACTAAAATGTTAGGGGAAAAATTATGCCTTCAGACCAGACTTCTCCTTTGAGATCCTGATCCTTATAATAATAACATCAACACGATCATCCTTCATTCTCAAAGGCTTCTTTCATTTCTTATGATTGAGGCTTACTCATTCATTCAACAACATTGATTTTGAGAACCTATTGTAGACCAATCACTATTGTGGGTCCTGAAGCTACAGACATGTAGTTTTAAAACTCCAACCAAAAATATTTGGGGTGAGATGGGATGGTTTAGCTTGAGTAGCTGAGTGGATGATGATGCCGTTAACTTAGACAGGATAGAGAGATGAAAGTCAGGTTTGGGAGTAGAGAGAGTGTGTCCTATGTTCGGCTGAAGGTGCCTTTGATCCTCCATGTGAAAATATATACTAGTTGGAAATACTGGACTTAAATGGAGGAGAGAAATCTGAATTAAGCATGGGAGGAGAAAAGGAACCTGGCAAGAGTATGTTAAAAGAGGTAAAAATTGGGACTCTAGCACTAGGGGGCCCCAGTATTTAAGGTGTGAGCAGAAGAGGCAGAACCAGACAAAAATACTGAGAAAGGAAGTTCAGAGGGGTATGAAAAAAATCAAGAGAGAATTTGTGCCTTAGAGACTAGGCCATTCCTCTATTTGCTGTTGTTGTTCGCTGTCATTGAGTCAGCGCCTGACTCGTGGCGACCCCGTGCACAATACTGTGAAACCCTGCCTGATCCTGCAGTATCCCCGTAATTGTTCCATAATCAGACCGTTGTGATCCAGAGGGTTTTTCTTTATGTATATATTTTATTGTACTTTAGATGAAGGTTTACAGAACAAGTAGTTTCTCATTAAACAGTCCGTACACATATTGTTTTATAACATTGGTTAATAACCCCACGACATGTCAACACCCTCCCTTCTTGGCCTTGGAGGACCCTTTTTTTTTTTCTTTTTTTGGTGAAAATATACATAGCCAAAGTTACACAATTTCAGAAGTTTCTACATGTACAATTCAGTGACATCGATTACATTCTTCCAGTTGTGCTGCTATTCTCGCTATCCTTTTCCAAGTTATTCCATCACCATTATCTTCAACTCCCTGCCCCCTAGGCTTCCCATCAAACCTTTCGAGTTGCTGTTGTCAGTTTGATCTCACATAAATAATTCTTTATGTGTGTGTGTGTGTACCTTAGATGAAGGTTTGCAAAACAAATAGTTTCTCATTAAATAGTTAGTACACGTATTGCCCTATGACAATGGTTAACAACCCCACTACATGTCAATACCATCCCTTCTAAACCTTGGGTTCCCTATCACCAACTTTCTTATCCCCTCCCACCTACTGGTCCTTGTCCCTGGATTGCTGTGCCTCATTTCTCCCATTTTGTTTTATGAGGCTGTCCAATCCCCGGCTGCACGGTGAACTTCGAGAGTGGCTTCACTACT